TTCAAGTTCTGGCTTTGCTACTTATTAGCTGAGAAGCCTTGGGCAAATCGTTTAACTTTTCTGAGCTTTAGGTTCTGTACCTTCAAAAGTGGGAGGAGTTAAAAATGTGCCTATTACAGGATTTTGGTTAGGACTGTATGAAATAAATGTAACATTGCCTGGCATATGACAGTACAAAACTGTGTTAGCTGTCATCCTTCAACTTTTTAGAAATATTGCTAGGGTGATACGGTGTGCTCAAGATGACTCACCCCTTTGAGGTGCAGCTGGAAATACAGACCTGAATTTCCAAGGCTGCCTTCTCTCCTGAGATCCAGAGTTCTATGTCTAAATGCTTCTTTGATACCTCCACTCATAAGCTCTGCTGGTACCTCATATTTAAAATGGCCAAAGCTGATTATTTTCCCCTCAAAACAAATCTACTGTTGGTTCCTATATTCCCAATCTCACTTAACAGTACCTAGCATGAAACACAAGCTAAAAATCTGAGAGTTATCTTAACAATCTTTGCTTTTCCTCACGTTCTATACTTTGCCAAGATTCCTGTTAACTCTACATCTATAACTATTTCTAAAATCTGTTTCGGACCTTACTCCATCAGGCAGCCATTTTCTCTTGCCTAGATTACTAGACAGTTTATAATCAATTTTTCCCTTCTGACCCATCTGTCGCATGGCTCAACGTGAAGTCTGATCGTGCTGCATCCATGAATAAGGCCTCGAAGTTAAAAACAAGTTGATGTCCTGGACCCTAATATCATATTATACTTATTTTTCAAATTCCTAAATTATAATGGTATAGCTTTTTTGTTTTTACACTTGTTTCTCCTAAAAGTCTATGAAATCCTTAAGGCAAGAGGTATCTTCATATGATGTTCTAGCACATAACAAAAATGTAAGATTAAGTGAAGGACTCTACCGCTCTTTAGCAAGCACCATTTATTTATTTATTTATTTATTTATTTATTTATTTATTTTGGGACGGAGTCTCCCTCATCGCCCAGGCTGGAGTGCAGTGGCGCAATCTCGACTCACTGCAACTTCCTCCTCCAGGGTTCATGCCATTCTCCTGCCTCAGCCTCCCGAGCAGCTGGGACTACAGGCACCCGCCACCACGCCCGGCCAATTTTTTTGTATTTTAAGTAGAGACGGGGTTTCACCGTGTTAGCCAGGATGGTCTTGACCTCCTGACCTCGTGATCCGCCGGCCTCAGCCTCCTAAAGTGCTGGGATTACAGGAGTGAGCCACCGCGCCCAGTCAGCAAGCAACATTTATTTAATCAACATTATTCAGCTCCTTTCCAACACTTTACCACTTCTAACACACTTCTTGGCAACTTTATGTGCTGCAGATCTAGGCCACATGTGCAGAATGAAATCTCTCTAGCACTGTCTTTTCTACATGTGTGCCAAAATACCGACATCGCTACTGAAACTCCCCACAAAACATTTGAAATGAACATGAAAATAAATTTGCTTTTCCTCTGCTTGAGGCATCAGTCTCATAAAACTTGCCCACCAAAGCCTTGCATTTAGAATGCTGTTTTATTAATAAGAACATCACTAGTGAGAAAGTGTGACTGATGAAGACCGCTGCTATCTAATAACTGGGATCATTGGGGAATGTTTGCCATATCCCTTCCACTTCAAACATTAATGATTGATATTAACCATCATCTAAAAAAAAATTGGCCAAACTCCTTGTGGTGCAGGGGCCAAAAATGAAGCATGGAATTAAAATTAGTTTTCAGACTAAATGATCAAGATTGTGCTTTGCTTTTGAAGCTCACAGTAATCCTTGAAACTAAAAAATATATATACATATATTAAAAAATCACAGGTGTGTATCACTGCCTGAGACCTCTTCCTAAATTCAACAGATAATCAACTTCAACTGCTAAAGGTACCCTTTCCGGCATACAATGTAATTTAAAAATTAAAATTAGTGATAATGTTGAGTTACAATGACCTATTGAAGTCACAATTATTTCAGTTTTTGAGTTTTCCAATCTGAAGGACAAAGGTCCCACACCAAACAAGGTAGAATATGGAAAAAAAATGTCATTACGGTGTCATTAACCTGAAAAAACGTCATTTTAACTATATTTTGCCACGCTCAACGTTACAAATAAAAGAATCTTACCATGCCATTATGCCTTGATTAACTGCGCTCCGGAATCAATCATGGCCTATGGTGTACGATTATAAAACAGAAAAAAACAAAGTTTCATCTCATTTCTTTGTACAAAGGTGGAGAAACCCTGTGCTAATTTTTGAAGACTATTCTTTTTTTCTCTTCCCAAGAGAAAAAGATAACACTAGGACTTAATCTATATATTAAGTAATTACGTAAAAATAACGCTGTCTAAATTATTTTGAAATGCTGGCTCTCTTCCAAGTTCCAAACTATCTCAATTTGCTTAGAAAAACGCTTAATTAAAAAACAGTTCTAGCCTTCTGATATCCGAATGTAGAAAAATGCAGATACTCAACACTTAAGATTTTGTTAGCACACCAAATCATTCCATCTTTTACTTTCAATATTCCTTAACAAATAATAAAAAGACGGGAGAGGAAATTCAGTTGCAAAGACTGGAGGAAACCTGCAGAACTTCTAGTGGAAGTTTATGCCATAAATTTAATAGCCCAGCCAGAACAATCACATTCTACAGAAAGCCAAATGAAGATAAGGGTATCTTGGAGTGCCCCTACTTAATAAACACGGAACCAGGAAATAGTTAACTGCAAAGACAGTCTAGAGGTATCCAGGTGACTGACAGTTCTCCAGAGACCCCCGAGAACAGCGTAAAAGACCCCTTGAGGTCACCTCACCCCTGCGAGTCCACGGATTGGGATCTGAGGGAGGTCTCGCCAGCCCGAGGGCGAGAAACGGGCGAGGAGGTACAGATGCTCCTCCCTGGAAACCGCCCGGCTGGTTTCCGCTCTTTAAAAAAAGGGAGTCACCCGTTCCTTCCATCCCGACCTCATCCACTCCTCTAATGCTCCTTCTGAATGAGGAAGATGGACAGTGTCAAGGTTTTCTGGAGGAGAGGAGATCTGGGTCCCAAACACAGGAAAGGCCCCGAAGGCACGCGTACCCCAAGGCCGGTATGTCACCCGGAAGGGTGACCGCAGCCTGGGTGGCGCCTCAGCCAGACGGAGCATCTCCCCCTCCCCAGGTCCGTCGCCATCACCTCCTCTTCCTCCTCCTCCTCTCCCACTCCTGCACTTTCCACCTCGGCGGTCGCCTCCCCGGAAACCACTCTCAACTCCGGCGCCCGCGGGACACTTCCGCCTATGTGTCCTTGCGCGCGTGCGCAGACGCGTGGCCCCGCCTCCCGACGGGCCTGTGGCCGCCGCCGGCGTGGGCGCCGTTACCTCCCGCGCATGCTCTATCGGGTAGAGACGCAAGGCAGGCACTGCCACGGTGGCCCGGCGGTGCGAGGGTCACCTTTCAGCCCTTACTTCTACCCGCTGAAATGGAGTAGGGCGGTGAGCGCCGATCTGCCGGAGAATCTCGTTATCCCATCGGCGCTCTGCCTGCTCCTGGCCTCCAAGCCTCTGAAGTCCCCCGGATTTCAGCTGCCGGCTACCCCCGAGCCCGTGGTGCCCACGAGTGGCGACTTTACGTCAGCGGCCCTGGGCTGAGATTTGAGAACGCGACCAAGTGGAAAATGTTGGAGCCAGATTTCAAAATCCTTGACTTCCTTATTCTTGCTACTTGATGTAAATGAGATACGGCAAAGTCACAGTACCTGTTTTTATGTTTTTGCCGGATTCATAGGGGCTTCTCCGGTGAAGACGGGCCGAAGTAAAGCTTGTGTTGCTTCTGACGTTCTTACTCATCCTGTAGCTGCAGCAACTGTGGTCCTTGCAACCTCATAAAAATGTTGCCAGCATTGTTTTGATAGTGCTGCTTAATTCTTGGAAGGTAAATCTCAAAGCTTGAGGACCAGCCATCAAAATTTTTGTAAACGTTTTCCCCGCATTTAGGGCCACATCTGTCACTACTGAGATGTAATAATGTAAAATCCAAGACGGTTTGGGGATGAGCCGTTTTCAGAGAACACTTAAGGAAAATATTACTGTAACGAAGATGGACAATTTTTGAAAGCATGCCTTGGATACCAGAAAGGGATAAATTGGATTAATATATATGTTAGAATTCAGTCAGTTATGTACAACTTTTAAAATTTTATAGGCACTCTTCAGAAAGGGTAACGTTTGTGTCTTGTATTGGGATTGAGAGTTTGTAATAAAACAAGGCACCTACTTTGGTGGTGAGAAAAAAAGGTCTGGGTAGACATTTTCATTTAATACTTGCTAACCTTGTTAGGCTGGTGGTAGCAACATTTAGGAATGTTGAAATTGAGGCTTAGAGAACTTAAATTTCCTCAAGAGATAGTAAATGACAAAATCTTTCGGTGATGCCATATCGTCACTGTATAAGGTGGATTTAGTACTACTGTTAGCCATTTATATGATGGTTATTTATCAAGCCTCTATTAAATGGGCATATGTATAGGTCATATTCATAAACTATGCGTATGAGCTTCCTGTCCTGAAGAAATTAGGGGTTTCCACGAGAAAGTAAATGGCAGTATAAAACAACTTAAGGTCCAAGAGGTGGTACAAGGTACCATCTGCTCATGCCTGGACCACTGCCGTAGCTGTGAGCATAGCTTTCTACATTCCCTTTATTTCTCTACATAGTTGCCTTCAGCAGCTAGAGTGATCCCGTTAGAACTTGAATATGCCACTCCTCTGTGCAGAACCTTTTAGTGGCTTACCAGCGCATTAAAGTTCAAAATTCTTATTCTGACTTTTAAGACTGAACTTGTTCTTGAGGGGTCACATTCAAGCTACACTGCGGAGCTTTTCTAATTGTCTCCAAGCACAGCAAGCGTCAGTGCTTTGTAGCTGTTGTTCCTTCTGCATGGAACACTGCCCTCTCAGATGTCCACAGAGCTTGCTTCCTCGTTGTTTTCCAGTCACTGCTCAAATGTCACCTGGCTCTTCTCTGACTACCATGTCAGTGAAATACTTTTACATGTCAAATGTGAAATGTACGAGAGACTATCTGGAGTAGTACTTATTACAGAGTAGGTGTTTAATAAATATCGACTCTCTTATGATACTTCTCATTTACTCTTCTGATAACCATGTGGTAAAAAAAAAAGGCTTGCAGCTATGAATTGGTTTTTTACTGATTGATTGATTGATTGATTGAGGCAGAGGCTCACTCTGTTGCTCAGGCTGGAGTGCAGTGGAGCATCTCAGCTCGCTGCAACCTCTGCCTTCTGGGTTCAAGCGATTCTCCTGTCTCAGCCTCCCAAGTAGCTGGGATTATAGGCGCCTGTCACCATGCCCAGCTCATTTTTGTATTTTTAGTAGAGATGGGGTTTCACCATATTGGCCAGGCTGGTCTCAACCTCCTGACCTCAAGTGATCCACCCGCTCGGCCTCCCAAAGTGCTGGGATTATAGGTGTGAGCCACCGCGCCTGGCCCTAGGAATTGGTTTAAAATTTCTAAGAAATTAATAATCCTGTCGTGTCAGAAACCTTTGGTGTCGTGACTCACATCTTCTGAGCATCACCTCTCATTTCTGACTTGGTTGTGGGGGGGCAGTTTCATGCAATCTTCCACATTCTTCTCCCTGACAGCTTCTCCTGTCCCACATTTACCAGGCCTCTTTGCTTTCTTCCCTGAGGTTCTTCGGACTTCACAGATTCCAGCAGTAGCTCTCTCAGCTCCTGCCCTGCACAGCTTTGAAGTGCTGGTAAGTCAACACATCCGGGGCCCTTCAACCAAGGGGTGACAGTCGCTGATGGATAAATTCTCCTGCTTCTTACGCTTGAGCAAGATAGTTTTGTAGGCCATTCTGTGTGTTTTTCAAAAATTCCTAGTGAAATTGAATTCCGGTTTCTCACAACAGCAACTTCAATAATGCATTCTTGTATTGTGTCTATATTCTCCCTTCCATTCTCTCATTGTTTCTCACTAGGATCACATCCCAAATTACCTGTCCCCACATAAGTAGTTGTCTCAGGTTTTGAGGGAAACCAAGCTAAGAAATTTGATGTAAGAAGAAAGTCTAGAATGCAGCTCCTCAGAACTCTGGAAGTGGGTTTCTTTGCAGTCAGGAGACAACAAGGACTTTCTTAATGATATTAAGGGGAGGACATGTGCATGACCTAACAATTAAGGCTCTTTGTTACTAAAGCTGGTATGACTACTGCCTCTTTGGATGTCTAGCCCATCAGCAGCAAAGATTGATGGTAAATTCCATAAGGAGAGCAGACAGTTGCTCGACTGATTACACAAAAGTCCTTCCTTCCTGGAGAGAGTCGTGGTTTGTACTTACGGAACTGACACTTCTCTTGATATGACTGGTCTTGTTCACGGTGCTTCTGCCAATGCCATTATCTAATAGAGTTACAAACACATGATTGACTGACTTTCTTTCTTTCTTTCTTCCTCCTTCCCTCCCTCTCTCGCTCCCTCTTTCTTTTCTTTTCTCTTTTCTCTCTCTCTCTCTTTCTCTCTCTCTCTCTTCCCCTTCCTCCCTTCACATTGGTTACAAGAATTGCCCCTTGCTAACCTATATCTACTCGGGAGAAAAAAAAAATCAGAAACCCGCTTCATCTTATGCTGCGCGAGCATAATACATCTTCCTGCCAAGTGTGTACATTAAACGCAGGAAAAACTAGAAACAGTAAGAATTCACACCTCACGAAATTAAAAGAAAAGTACTGTGAATTATAGTTAATATGCCTTGGAATAGGCGATAAGATTTCCTTAAAGCAGGAAGCATAAAAATTGATTAACCCTATTGCTGATCTACAATATCTCCTAAATATATCTTTTCATACATGCGAAAGACACCCATAATCTATAATGTGCTTTTTTAATGAGCGTCTTCTAGTAACAACATCATTCAACACTTCTCGCACGGCATCATTATACGCTCATTTCGCAGCATCTATACTATATGTGAGCATTCATGCCCTATAATAAGCGACCTATTAAATAAATAGACCAAATCTAGTAACATGGACACTTTTTTAAAAGGATCCAGATATTGCAACGATAAATGTGTAGACGAAATGACCTGGTATCACAGCCAAATATATTCAACCTTCTAATCATCCTTACTGAGAGCAATAGATAAAGTTGAGGACAACTTGATGACTTGTATCATCATTTGTCCAGTATTGTCAAATGGAACTGCAATCTAATGATTATGTCATCAATGATATCAATGCCAGTCTACTTTCATACATACCAACTATTTCTAAGTGCTTGTTCAATAATATGGTGTTTGTACTAACCATTTAACCATGGCGTAGAGCGAGTTTTTCACTTACTCGCATCACCACAAGGGTATCCACCGTGATACAGTCTTCCACATTTCCACAGATGGGAGAGAGATTGAGAACTAATAAGGAATTTCAAGCATTCACAGACACAGGGTAGGGCTACACCGACAAGGATTTACAGATTTCTACTTTATTATCTCCTAAAACCCCTACAGAGCTTAACTACTGCAAGATCGTCTCACGCACACGGAATTATCGAATCGACTTAAGTTAAGACACAATAGGAGACATCGAACGAACATAGGTATTTGAACATCACCAGTCTCTCTTCCGTTCCTCTCATACAAAGATTGTCTTCAGCTGGCTTTTAGACAGACCTCAGAGCAAATATCTGGACCCATACATCCTATTTTTGCATTCATAGCTGGAGCGCTTGCCTAAGTCTCGTAGCTGATTGTGTTTCTGTGCTCTCGTCTCTTTCTCCAAATCACATATGCACCTGATGAATTATATCTACGTCTGACAATCCTTAAAATACTGTATAAATATATTGACACGTCCATTTTATTGTGGGCCAGGCGCACGGGGAAAAAGTGCCCCTGGGAAATGGAAGGCAGGCCACTTTATCCACAGCTGCCCATTCCCCCATTAGTGGATCATTTGCCTGGGGGTGTTAACTCCACCAAAACATCTTCCAGAGCCAGGGGGGTGTGTGTGATGTGTGTGTGTGTGGGTGCGGGTAATCATGGGAGGTGAAATGGCATTCCTTCCAACGCCATAAACCCTATCTGAGTCACACATTGTTTCTTTTAGATATCAGTGAAAAGACACCTTAATAGCCTAAGACGTTCACAAAACAATGGTCACTGTTCTATCAGGGCCCCATTGCCCGTCATACCAGTCATTGACAACAATATAACGGTAGAGCAGTGGGAATATCCCCATGGCCATCGTGTCATTTGTTTCGCATGCTTCTGTTACCATATAAGGGTAGCTCTTCAATTGAGAGGCAATATCTTACAGGATAATATGTTTTTTTGTGATTGTGACGAATTTCTGTACGGTACGTGCGGCCACCGGTCAATCATGCTGTATTGATCTCATTTTTTTTCTGGCGCTATTGGCTTGTCTCAGGAGGACCATGGTATTTCCGAATCTAGAGTGTGGTCTACAAGCTGCAGAGATTGGGCGCCACGATCTTACAACAGACCCTGTGGCAGGAGTTATCACAACAGCTGGCCACCATGAGAACTGTGTCTTCTTACCAAAAATACACAAAAAATTAGGCCAGCTGTGGTGCGGGTGATTGTATATCCAGTCTACTTGGGGAGCGCTGATGGCAAGGAGAACTGTGCGTTGAACCCTGGCGAAGGCAAGAGGTTGCCAGGTGACTAAGATGCAACCACTTGCGACTCCACCTGGACAGAGATGAGCATTGTTAGGAAGCGGAAGGAGGAAGAAGGAGGAGGAGGAAGGAGGAAGAA